ACAATTGCCTTGTGTCATTTACTGCTTTATTTACTTATTGCTTCTTCTTGCTTATCACGTGGATTTACCTGACACGATCACCACACACTTACTTTATTATTCCGCTGTGCACAAGACTCTAGCAAACGGTTAAGAGTTTTGGTTTCTCTGTTGCCTCAACAATTGTTGTATTTGCGAAAACAGTTTAAAAGTCTATTCACCCCCCCCCCCCACCCCACCTTCTAAACTTTTACCATACCTCATTTGGGACCAACAATTGGTATAAGAGCACGTTGGCTATTTGGGTCAACCTTGTTTCTAACTGCTAGGCAGATCCATTTTACCAGTGTGTGATTGGGTTATATTATTCATGTCTCACGTGAAGATGAATAAAGATTTAGCACAAAACTTATTATTCTCACTTGATAAATTTGATGATTGGAAAGTTCGTATGCAGGTTCATTTATCGGTCTTACACGATGAAATGTGGGAAGTCATTTCTAATGGACCGATCGAAATATTGAAAGTCGAACACAACATTTCTTTTATCTCCGGATGTTTCACAATATGTACCGAAGCCAAAACCGGAATAGACATCGAATGATAAAAAGGGGAATAATCTTGACAACATTGCCAAGGATATTCTATTCAAACCCGTTGATGATACAATATTCCCAAAAATTCGAAAATGCACAAGCGGGAAAGAAATTTGGGATACTCTCATCAAGATCGGTGAAGGTGATGAACAAGAGAAGGATAACAAGCTCACTATCGCCATGAAGAAGTTCAAAGATTTCAAAATGCTATCAAATGAAAGTATTGTTGATATGGAAGGAAGAATGATCAAAATTCTTGGAGATATTAATGATCTTGGCAAAAATATTAGCCAAAAAGAATTTAATCTCAAAATTCTACGAGGCTTACCATCTGCATGGGCACATTAGATGGTTATGGGCACATCTAATACTTGTTTCTCCTAGTATATTTCTCAAGTTGTTGTTTCCGGTACCTCTATGGGTACTGTTAGGAATATATTGTATTAGATTTTGATATGCCAAATTGTATTTTAGAATCCCCAATTTTATTTGTTAAGTCTATTTTTGTCGTAGACCATGAAAGGAAAATTAACAAATATTGAGAAAGGGAAAAATACGAAGAAGAAGAAGAAAGAAGAAGATGTATGCATATGATATGTATACTGGAATATGTCGGCACGCCCAACTCAAAGAATATGTTTTACTGGAAAATCTCATATGAAAAATAAGAAGTAAACGAGATTGCATGAAGTTATCTTGGAGATCAAGCATCTGTGGAAAGAAAGAAGTACATCAAGGAGAATGCTATAATAACTAATAATTCGTATAGACGAGATGGTTAGAAGCTTGATAAATTAATTCAAAGGTCTCAGGTTTGAAACTCACTCTTTACAACTTTACAAGAATCAGGCGAAGTTTGAAAAATGGTTAAAGTATGAGATGCGATTTAATTGGAGAGATCCCATCCCATGAGCTCAAGTTATAAGAAGAACGTCCCAGCCAGGCTACAAGAATACTAGACCAAAGTACTTCCAGCAGTTCTACTGAGCTGTGAAAGCCAGGCTACAAGAATACTAGACCGAGCTGTGAAATTCGAACTGAGCTGTGAAAGCCAGGCTACAAGAATACTAGACCGAGCTGTGAAATTCGAAGTGTAGTTCTACCGGAGCGTAGAAGAAAGGGGGAAAGTTACAAGAATACTAGACCGAGCTGTGAAATTCGAAGTGTAGTTCTACCGGAGCGTAGAAGAAAGGGGGAAAGTAACACGGAGGTGTGAAATCTTGGGAAAGTAGTAGCAGTGTTGCAGGCACGGTAGACGAATTTTAGCACGGAGTTGTGAAATCTGAAGACGAATTTGAAGTGTAGTTCTACCGGAGCGTAGAAGAAATGGGGAAAGTAGCACGGAGTTGTGAAATCCGAAGTAGCAGTGTTGCAGGCTAGGAGGATTACATCACCTCCGAACAATTATAATTGTCTTGTGTCATTTACTGCTTCTTGCTTGCTTATCACATGGATTTACCTGACACAAGAGCAAGTGGAGTAGGAGGATTACATCACCTCCGAGCTTGCTTATCACATGGATTTACCTGACACAAGAGCAAGTGGAGTAGGAGGATTACATCACCTCCGAACAATTATAATTGTCTTGTGTCATTTATTGCTTCTTGCTTGCTTATCACATGGATTTACCTGACACAATCACCACACACTTACTTTATTATTCCGTTGTGCACAAGACTCTAACAAACAGTTAAGAGTTTTGGTTTCTCTGTTGCCTCAACAATTGTTGTATTTGTGAAAACGGTTTAAAAGTCTATTCAGCCCCCCCCCCCCCCCCCCTCTAGACTTTTACCATACCTCCTTTGGGACCAACAATTGGTATAAGAGCACGTTGCCTATTTGGGTCAACCTTGTTTTTTACTGCTAGGCAGATCCATTTTACCAGTGTGTGATTGGATTATATTATTCATGTCTCACGTGAAGATGAATAAAGATTTAGCACAAAACTTATTATTCTCACTTGATAAATTTGATGATTGGAAAGTTCGTATGCAGGTTCATTTATCGGCCTTACACGATGAAATGTGGGAAGTCATTTCTAATGGACCGATCAAAATATTGAAAGTCAACAGAACATTTCTTTTATCTCCGGATATTTCACAATATGTACCGAAGCCAAAACCGGAATGGACATCGGATGATAGAAAGGGGAATAATCTTGACAACATTGCCAAGGATATTCTATTCAAAACCGTTGATGATACAATATTCCCAAAAATTCGAAAATGCACAAGCGTGAAAGAAATTTGGGATACTCTCATCAAGATCAATGAAGGCGATGAACAAGAGAAGGATAACAAGCTCACTATCGCCATGAAGAAGTTCGAAGATTTCAAAATGCTATCAAATGAAAGTATTGTTGATATGGAAGGAAGAATGATCAAAATTCTTAGAGATATTAATGATCTTGGCAAAAATATTAGCCAAAAAGAAATTAATCTCAAAATTTTACGAGGCTTACCATCTGCATGGGCACATTAGATGGTTATGGGCACATCTAATACTTGTTTCTCCTAGTATATTTCTCAAGTTGTTGTTGTTTCCGGTACCTCTCGGTTGATCTTGATGCATTCACACAACCGGATAGGGGCGTTCCACTTTGTAGTTTCCCGGCTTTCTGCAATTGTAGCAGAGTACTTGCAACTCCTCGGAATCTCTACTAGATTGACGGTTTGAACCTTAAGCCTCTCAGATACGAATGGTTGGCTTTACCACATGTCCCTTTTACTCCTCGAAATGTAGGTCCTTCCTACTCTTTGACCTTTGCAACCATTTGGTTACGAATGGTTGACTTTACCATTTGTCCATGCAACAATTCGAAAGGTAAACTCTTCCACCTCTCGGTCTTTGCAAGCATTCGATCTTGATGTCTTCTACTCTTCGAATCTTCAGTCTTCTGATCTTCATCTCTGACCATTGGAGAGTTAACCACTCAGGTTACTCTTCGAGTCAATTTTCATGACTGTCCTCTCGAGTTGACATTCAGATGAGTATAATTTTTACTACTCGAGGTACCATTCGGTTAGTTCAAATGTTTGAGCATAAATAATTTCTAAGTCTAGAAAATAAAATAATTGGAGTCTAAAATTCCTATCAGTTGGTATCATCGGTATCTAATACGATATGTTCCTAACACAGTAAAATTCAAAAAATGTGTTTTTCTTTTTACATTTGCCTTGAAAATTTGGGAAATTTTTTTTGTTCTGTATAAACTTCCTCCCCTCCTCTCCCTTACCCTTGTAGGGTAGGTTTTTTTTTTTTTTTTTTTTTTTTTTTTTTTTTTTTTTTAAATATTTTTTTGATTTGTCGTGTGTTCAAAAAAGAAAAAGTATTTAAAAAACATGGCTACCATCCAATGCTCTTAACGTGCGCGTGCAATGCCAGATAGTGTTAGCACGTACTAATGTGCACCCAATGTTTTTCTTTTTAATTTTATTATTTTTATCTTTTTATTTAATTGGGATTGGGATGAGAATTAACTGAATAATAAAAGAATGAAGCAAACTCAATGAGAATATTTAATGGAAATAACAACGTTTCCCAATCTCACTCTTCTCAAATCTTAACCACCCCCACCCCCCTCCCACGCCCCTCATCTTGCATTATATGTGCCAAAAAAATAAAAATTATGAATCTAATGCTCTTACAGGCACACCACCTGTACAAAGACTTATGCAAGAGCTTGTTTGCAAGAATTGTACTTGTGACTTTCATGTACTTGTGGCATATTTGGGGTTCCCTTTTTAAACACTTTTTGTTTGGTAGGTTTGATTGAATAGTGATAAAAAGGTATTTAAAAAAAAAAAAACATAGCAACCACTTAATGATCTCATTAGGCATGTGCAAGTGCACCCCCATGCTATGTAGTGTTGGTGCACACACGTATACTAGTGACATTTTTTTTAAAAAAAAAATTCCTTAAATTTGGGAAACGGTTTTTCTTTGACTTTTGCATAGAAAACTCAGGAAAAAAAAAATATGTTTTGTAATAAATCTCCTCCCCTCACTACAAGAAAATTCACGAATCGCGACGGATATTAATTTGTTACAATATAGCGACGTAATAGCTTTCGTTGCAAATTAGCGACGAAAATTAATTCCGTCGTGATTTTTGGCGCAAAGAGAAAATAAAATTTGCGAAATTTTGGCAGTAAAATATTCACGACAGATTTAAATTACATGTCCATATAGTGACGGAATGTACTGAAGACGAAAATTGCGACCGATTTTTTTTTTCATCATGAAGTGAAACATTTTTATCATTAAGTAAATATTAGGACGGAATTAACCACGAAATTAATTCCGTCACAATATTTTTAAAAAATTTTATTTCCCCTCGTTTTTTTAATCACATTTTTATATAACGTTATGACCCTTCTTCAACCCTAATTGACTATTGACTAATTCCCTACCGGTGTGAATTGCGACTGTGCGAGGCGAGTAGGCAACCGAGTGGAGACTGCGATGGGTTGCGGCGAGGCGGCGACCGACCTGCGAGGAGGCAGTGACTGACGTCCGACGGCGAGGTTAGTTGTTCACTTTTTCTTACTCTTCTACGGTAATGCCGTGTCTTCAGCAGCGAGTGAGCGACCGACGGCAGTGGCTGCTGCTGCTTCCTCGGACGGTGGCGGCGGCTGCTGGCTGGAGTGGCATTTGGGCATTAGTTATTTCATCTTCTCTTTCAATATTTCAGGTCAAATGGGAGCAATGAAGATGTAGAAATAAAAAATCCCAGTGAGAAGTGTCCAAAAATTTCTCTCTCGGCTCAACAAAAAATTGCACAAAAGCTCTACTCCTTCCAGTTCAGTTCAGGTTGTTTTCCTGAAATCTTGAAGTGAGTATGTTCATTCTTGCTTTTCAAGCTTTTGTTGAATCTAGTAAACATTTTCTTGAAAATAGAGCATAGTACTACTTTGTAATTTGATTTGAGAAAAGGGAAAATTTCCAAAGTATTTGAGATGCTTAATGAAAAATAAAAATAAAACAAAAGGATGAGGGAGTTATAAGAATATATAGAATTATCCCTTTTGAATTTTGGGGATTTATTTTTAAAAGTATTAATGTTTAGAAATTTGCAGTGCCATTTTCTGCAGTATGGGAAGAAAATATCATTAATCTTTTGCTAGACGGATTTAATGGAAGCATAGTGCATAGTTTGGTACAAAAGTTACAAGCAGGATATAAAACAGTTGTAGTTGCTCTTTAGGGTCTAATGATTATTCAATTTAAGGACACGGGGGATTCAATTTCTGTCGCTAGTGGGCAGCAAGGATGCTATAAGATTCCCTAAAGAAAATGGAAATAGCTTCCAGTTTCCAGTGTAATATCTTCAGAAATTAACTCTATGTGGGTGATTTGTGAATGCACTTGCAGTGGACCACCAAGATTTGGTGACAGGGATGGGTATCGTGGTGGCCCAAGAGGAGGTCCACCTGGTGAGTTTGGAGGTTAGAAGGGTGGAGCTCAAGCTGATTTCCAGCCAGCCTTCAGGGTATGCTTATCCCTGTTAACTTTTTTATTGTGATCAGAATCTGTAGTGTGTAATTTTCTATCAACTGCATGGTTCTTATTATAATTTGTTTAGTTAGTGCTTTACTGCTTGCTGATTGATGGTGTGTAGTACTACATATTTGTTTGAAGGCCGAACAAATAAATTAGGTATTTGAAGTGAAATTTTCCAAGTAATTGATGGAAATTATTTTAAATTTGGTTGATTGTAGATTGCTTACTGTTACAGATTAGAGATTAACCCTTTTTAGAGGACTTAAGTGGCATATAGTAACTGATATAGATTTGCACAGACCAAGTTAATTGCTCAAAAAGTTCATGTTCTTGATTCATGGAGCTCTATCCAACTTCTTTACATTGTTTGGCCCCAACCATAAGGAGACACCATCACAAGAGAGCTCTGAGCACCGAAAAATAGTCCGTGGATAGTAATATCTTTTGCCTTCAATTTCTGTTAAAATCTTTTATAGATTTCATCATCTATTAAAATCTTAAGGAACAATCATCAACTGGTCCTTACTTTTCATATTTCTTATCATTGTTTTGGCATTTTCCTTCTTTTTATGAAATTAATATTAGTATTTCAACATAGTAATGATGTTATTATGTAGTATTGTAGAAAGGCTTTATTTATTTACCAAAGCTTGTAATTATTATTTTGCACATTTGGTATTTTAGGAAGCCTCTGAAGCAAAACGAAAGAATGCAAAACGCAGCTTTAAATCTGAAAAGGAATTTTTAGAGTTCACTTTGAAGTATCAATAAGTTATTGCTGAAAGAGATTCAGGTAACTTGTTATATAATGTACATGTTAATTGTCTGATTTATTTCTGTGATATATAAGTAATTTTTTTCTTAAAAAACAGTAGGTGGTACTTACAAAGCTTGATAGAAGGTCAGTCAATTGACTAAGAATTATGATGAAAGAAATTGGGAACTTCTAGGTGTGGAATCTCTGGTAGATACATGCTCATTAAGAAAGAATGATACAATATTGCATTTAATTTAGTTTCATTTTACCTCTCCCTTCCTCTTTTGGGTAGTTTTGTTTTGTTTTATTTATTTTTGAGTTAATTATCGAAATGGTCCCTTGACTATAGCAAAATTACCAATTTAGTTCCTTGACTATTTTTTTGACCAATTAAGTCCCTCAATTTTAAAAATCTTAACCAATTTGGTCCTCCGTTTGTTTTTCCGTTAGACATCCGTTAACTTGGGACCAAATTGATAATTTTGCTATAGTCAAGGGTCCATTCCAGTAATTCACTTTAGGGGTAGGCAATTCGGTTCAATTTTCCTGTACCAAACCTACCGAACTAATTCGGTTCGGTAATATACCATACAAATCGAACGGTAATGGATTATTGTATACCGAACGGTTCGGTAAAAAAAAAAAAAAAAAAAAACCAAACCGGATACCGTTTGATTTTTTAAAAATATAATAATAATAAGAGGTAATTACCGTATTATTATTATTATCATTATTATTAATTATTATTATTATTATTATTATTATTATTAATATTATTATTATAATATTACAAAAAACAAACGGTATAAACGGTATGATTTGAAAAAAAATGGAAAGGCAATCAATGAAAATAATAAACAACAATACATAGCTAAACTAATGGTAGAATATATGTAAGCTAACAACAAAATACATATTGCAGTGAATTTCCATATAGTGAAATCAAACTTATTTACCATATTCAAATTAGACTCGTGCTATCTCATCACAAGACCACGTCCCATGAGTAATCCCAATATTTTATTTAAAGCAAACTAATTTCTTTCTTCCTTTTTTTTAAGGGAGCTAAATTCTTTCTAATTGAACTATAATTAATTCTTTTTCTTTTTAAATATATATATATATATATATATATATATATATATATATATATATATATATATAAATATAAAATATAATATAATATAATAATAATACATATTGCAATGGATTTACATCCTGCGATATCAAACTTATTCACGAGAGTCAAATCAACTCCATCTCATTAACACTTCAAAGTAAACTCAATATTATATTTTATTTTAATTAAAACAAACTAATTTCCTTCTAATTGAACTATACTTAAAAATGCTAGTCTTGAACAAGTATCAAGTTTGGGAATGGATAGGGTAGGGGGTTGATAATGTTGACACCTAAAAGAGAATACTCCACGTAATCTTTCACCAACATTTTCCATGCTAAGTTAGTATGAGTATACTCTTTTATCCACTATTTCCTGCTTAATCCGACAAATAAGCATAACTATACAAGGTTGGATTGAATTAAATCACTGAACTAAAATTTGGTTGCCCAAAAACAGGAAACAAACAACCCGACAATTTGGTTGTCAGGGCTGAACTTTGTCCACACCACACGGTGTAACATAACAAATTCTAAGAAGAAGAAGATAATGGAATATTTGTAAAAGCAAGAATACAGCAATGATAGCAGGAAAAATATCACAGAAGAGAAGTCAAAAGCTTTAATTTATGTTAGGGAACTATCACAACACAGAACTCAAAAGCATTCTACAGCACAACACTTTCACAAAAGCACAAAGTTGATAATGTAAGTTATTACTTGCCAGTTGTTTATCTCTCTGACACTAATAAAACAACAAATTCTAGAGAGTTAGCCACTGGACTAGCTAGAACAAAATGCAGACCTCAAAATTAACTAGACATGTCTTTTTGTGTTAAATATTTAAATTTTACACAGATAGGTGGTCATCATTTCCACCATCAAAATCTAACTTTGCCTCCTCAGCATTATCTTTATCTCTCACCCTGTGAAACAGCAGAAAAAATCCCATGTACTTAATAGAGGAAAAAAGTGAGGAAATTAAATTCATAGTCTGGGGACCTCAGATCAGATAGATTAACACAATGAGTGAAATTTAAGTAGAGAGAAAAGGAGGAAGAAGATGAATAAAGCGTTCGTAGTTTAAGAATGGGATTTGTGTTTACCGTCAATTTGATCAGGATTTTTTGGAACTTTATATTTATCCGTAGTGATCTCCATCAACCACGAGCCTGGGAAAAGATCCTGCAAGAATCCAGTATGGAGAAAACTGGATTAGTTATTGGAATTGAGGCGAGAAATGGTGGAAATATAGAATCTTTTGATTAAGGCTTTTAATTACATCAATCTCCTTCTGAATAGCTCTGGGCCTTTTCTTGGGTTTTTTGGGTGGTTTGACACCGGTAATGGCAGTGAAATCAGCTTCAATCTCTTCTTTGGAGAGATCGATTGAAAACTTACTCTTCTGCGGAAGAATTGCCAAGCTTCTTGCGACGGATGTGTTTTTGGTGACCCCATTTGAGGCACGAGGGCAATGTGAAGTTGTGAAGCGGCCGCCTAGTTGCCCGATTAGGCTCCTCTCTTTCTCTCTCAACGTTCGTAGCCATTAAGCTCCTCTCTTTCTCTCTCCGGAGTGAATGTTTTTCCCAGACGAGCGACGGCAGTTACGTTTCCGAAAACCAACGGCGGTTACGTTTCCGAAAACCAACGGCAGTTACGTTTTAGAAAACCAACGGCGGTTACGTTTCGGAAAACCGCCCGGACTTCGCACGGAGATCGCTCCTTTGTTTATCACCACCGGAAGTGGTCTGGAGTAAAAATTGTTCGGCCCGGCAACAGCTTCTTTCCAGCAATCTTAATTTTGGTTCGGCACAAGCAGCTCTCGGCGGTGATAGTTCGACAGTGGTGACGTGATTTATTTTGGTGCGACAGCAGGTTCTTGGCACTGCCAAGTTCGCAGCATCTCTAATTGGCATAAGAATTCCTTTTTGTCTTTTTTCATTCATTTGCTAATTGCTTTGTTGTTTCTACTTTATTTGTTTAGAAGTTTACATTCACATAATCACATTTGCTAGTTATTAACTACAGTACGTAATGAATTCAATTTCAATTACAATTCCTTGATTTCCTTCTCAAATCAACATGTTTGGCTAAATTTTCCTAGGTTCCAATTGGGTTATATTTGTTATTCTTCTTTCTGGTATAATTTTATCGCTTTAACTTCTTGAGTTTTATTGATCATTATCTTTGGTATTCTAACACTTTAAATTATCAAGTTAATTATTTTTAAATTTATAAATTGCCTATTTCTTTTCTTGGGTTTCTGCATAGCATTTGATTTAGTTTTTACTATTGATGTTACTTTTATTGCACTTTGAATACTTTAAAACTGTTATAAAGATTAATAATTGTGGACATTATGAGGATTATTGTGTAACGGTTAAATATTTATGTTCGGCATTATTGCTTTCCGTTACAAGTGTATATTATATATATATTGTTGTAATATGTACAAACAGATGATGAATGAAAAGATACCTCTGTATTCTCTGTAATTCATTTACTTTTTCTATTCGGGTAGGCTATTTTTTCATATTCATTTAAATTTGCAAAAACTTGATTACTTTGTATTCAAGATAACTTTTTTTTTTTCCCCATAAATGATATGAAATGCCTGTTTATTTTTTTTTTGAATGCTACTAGCTCTATTACAATGTAGTATCTGTTCATATACTTTCTTAACCTACTGAAACACAAAGAGCCAATAACGCCTCCACTGAGGCTCGAAATCACAATCTTCCAAATGGAAGTCCAACCCGGATACCATTAGACTACATAGTCCTGGTAATGCCTGTTTATTTAATTAATCATCTTTGTAATCATCTTTGGGTGTTGGGTGTGTGCATCATAGTGACAGAGTGTGGGTGTTACATTTATTATTCCGTTTTACATTTTTCATACGATATCTACTATATATGCATTTTCTATCCACTCGAAAATGCCAACGTCTACAAAAAATGTTATTCATGTAGTTGGGTTTTGTTCGTTATGTATTTCCAATAAACTTGCACAAGCCAAAAACAAAACATACGCATGTACACGCCTGAAAGGAGCAACGCACACACCGAATCACAAAATTTAATATATAAAAAAACCACGACATGAGCTAAGTTCCAGGGCTAGGGCCTGAA